AAACCTATTTTTCTAAACTAATTAGCGTATATAATAAGCAGCACTCACGTAATCAGCATCATATTCTTGTTTTCATCCATATTATTATTGCTGTGTTGTTTTGCTTTCAACAAAGTACGGCGCAAAGAGCCTTTTGATTCATTAAGAAATAAAATAATGGTTGAAAAAACAATGGAATATGCAATAATTGGGGGCAGGTGTCAGGAAATGATTGCAAAGGGGGAAACACCAAAGCACAGAGGAATGTGATGGGCAACAATCATGTACCTTACTGTTCAAGGAAAGGTCTTTTACACGGATTATTTTTTAATGTATATTACAGTATTCTCTCACTCTTTTTGGTATATTATTTATAGAATTAATATTTTTTCATGTTATATAATATAAATTTATTTATATATATATATATATAAAAATATGCGGGGCTCATGTAAGATTATGTAAAAAGAAAAAAGAAAAAAAAAACTATGAACTCGACATATTTTTATGTCTGTATTGAAGATAAAATTATCTCTTAATTGTTTACCCAAAAAAAATTATTTCTTAATTATAACATGAGAAAAATTAATCACATTATTTATTTGATATTAAATTTGATTCATTAAAAATATTAAGACATTAATAACATAATTAAAATATGAGGTAATAATTTCTCTTATTACTGAAGATATTTTGTCTCCCGCTAATAACATAAATATGGCGTGAGTTTCATCTTTCTTTTTTTTCTTTTTTCATTCACACCATATATTCATGTCAGTAAAAAATGTCAACTATAGCAGGAGAATAGATTATCCCTTAAAATATATTCAAATATTATTCAATGATATTTAAGTCTAATTTTACTCATTTAAAATTGTATTACCAGAATATTTTTTTGTCACATATAATACATAAAATGATAATTTTATATTGTAGAAACAAAATGGGTTGGAACAAACTAACCATTCTCAATTCAAAGTTTGGTAGCTTCTGAAATAAAATATTTTTTTTTAATTATTGAAACTTTTGGTAAAAAATAATAATAAAAAGAGTCAAACTCTTCCGATGTATAATGTTTATATTCAGTTTCTTTAAATTAATAACAAAATCTCGTGGAAAAAAGGAGCAAACACTTTATTCAATTTATGAAAGAAAGTAACTTGTGAATAATATTTATGATAAAAATACACATTTTTATAATATTATTTTGAGTAATAATTAAATTTTATATATTTTTATCAATTTTGTAATAATTATATAAGAACGATACAATTCTTTATTGTATTACCATTATAATACATGAAGGTAGATTGAAAATAAGATTGATATTTAGATAGTATAAGTCAAATAAAGGATAATATGTTAAAATAAATTATTGAAACAGAATATAGAATCACCTATCGCACCTCCCTAAGAAAATGGAGTTTTTTAGTTTTATAAAATAAAGTCTAAAATCACGTTATCATTTATATTATTTTTCGTTAACAGACACAAAAAATATTAATTTCATAAAATAAAACATAAAATAAATTATCCATTCATGTACCAAAGATACCATTGATTATTCTTGGAACAAACTTCTAGTTCTGACGGTTAAAAGAGCCTGAATTTTTTCTAGAGTAAGTCCTACGAAGTTTAGAAAAAATTTAAATTTATGTAATAAAATTTTATTTTATTTTTTTAATTAATTACATGTATGATTATGTATTATTACACGTTATATTGCTATGTTTTGTTTGGTATGTAAAAAGAAGATTTTATTGTATGAAATAAGTATTTCTATGTTTGTTAGCCAAAATAAACAAGAAACGGGAATTTTAGTTCATGTCCCGTTTCATAGAAATAAATATGATCATTCCCTTCTCCAAAAAGTGGGATTAATCATTTTATATTTTAAGAATTGAGACTTTAATTCATGTCTTCTCATATTTTCATTTAATTCTTATATAAATGAAAATAATTTCCCGTTATTATGATTTTTTATCTTGAACTTACCCTTCATGTCTTAAATTTAGTTTTAATAGTTACATAATAATTTTAAGGATAATAATTATGCAAATATATGACAAGAAATAAAAAAACAGAATGATGTTGTTGAAAAACATTTACTCGTATTATTTTTAGGATTAACATAAAGTTGTATTATTTTAAGTGAAAAAAAGAGATAAATAATAGAAATCATAGGGGAAGAAAGTAGGAGATTTTTTTTTCAATTTAAATTTTAGAAAAATAACACTATTTTTAACTAAAAAAATAATCCTTTAAAAAGAAAAATATTTTTTTCATTGCTTTATCACAAACACAAACAGTTTCAAGCATTATTTATAAGAAAGATTAACCCTTTTTATCTTTTTCTCATAAAGGTATTACGTCATTTAAATCAAATTTATAGTTTATATTAATTTTGTATATTAATCAATTGAATAACTTATAAATTGATTACATTTCGAAATTTATCAAAATGTAAATAAAAATAATCATTCAAATATACAATTCTAGTCCATATAATTTTATTATAATCCATGATATTGACGAAGCACCTTAATATTCTAAAAAAAAAATAAAAAATTGTCTAACACGTACGGCGTTGTGGGGTCAATTCCACGTAGGACAAGGATGCTCGATCGTAGATTAGTTTCCAATTCCATTACCGGTAATAACGGAAGGAATTTCCACAACCACAAAAATAAAACGACAAATAGCGTCAACATCTCCATCTCACATTCGAGAATGGAGAGGCTTTTTTTATTTTCAAAATAATTTTTTTTTTTTATAACGATTTTCAAAATATTTTAACTTGAGTATATATGTATTTAAAAAAAAAAAGTTTCCCATTTATTTTGAGTTATATTAAATGAAATGATCAATTGATCATACTTTCATAATTATTTTATATTCTCTCATTTTCATAAAATTAGGAGAAACATAGTATTGTGAAAAGGAAAAGGAAAGAAGATAGAAAATCATGCATCAAAACACAATTATTTCATTTAGAATGACACAAAGTGTGTGGTAACAAATATTTCTCATTTCTTTATTCATAATATGCTTACTCACAACACAACTTTCTCATCTATTAAAATGATAAAATGAAAACATAGGCACATAGAATATAAAGTGAGATTAACTATATTTGAATAGCAAAGATGTGAGATGATATATAAGATTGTGTGTATGTATATTTTTATAGTAATTACGTTCATAAACATATTTATAACCAGATTATAAGAACAAGATTTTATGTATAAATTTTTTTGTAAAGAAGGTTATATTTACAATCTATTTTTTCTTACAATCTCTTATAATTACTTTCGTTATCGTTGGATCAAAATCAAATCAACGACTCTTACTTGCTATTATTTTATAATCGTTGATTTAATTTTAATCCAACGATAAAGAAAGTAATTGTAAGAGTTTATAAGAAAAAATAAGTTGTAAATATAACATCAATATTTTTTATTTTATTTTTGGTAAACACATCTTTCATTTTTTATTCCTAAATAAGAGGGCTTTTTTTTTTAATGATCCGTTTACAAACTTTTTTTACAAATTACATTAAATATGACCAGCCATATACTCTTGATTGAAGTATGACCGATCATACTTAGTGTAGTTTGTAACAGTGTTTTAAAACTCCACTCCACCCCCGGGTTGACCCGGGTCAACCCTGACCCCTCCCCTGTGAGGGTGGGGTCACAAGTTGGACCATATATACACATCGACCCCTCCGACTCCCAAAACCCGGTCGGGTTTCAGTGACTCCCGGGTCAGAGGGGTCAAAGGGGGTAACTGCATGTTTTTTTTTAAAGAAAATTTCATGAAACAACGTCATTTTATTAAAAATAAAATAAAAATGCTTGCAAACCTAAATCTAATCGTTCTCTTCTCTCCAAACGACCTAGACTTGTGGTATCTTGATAATTTGGTATCATTAGAATATGAGTTTTGTACTTTGGTATCTTGATACTTTAATTAGGTTGTGTAATATTGACTTGTGGTTATAATTGGTGAATTATGTTAACGATATTTTGAATCTTTGATGATTGGTGATTTGCTTTTTAATATTTTCATATAGGATATATATAATTATATTTTTTCAATATATAAAACCGGGTCAGAGTAGTGACCCCGTGACCCCCTGGTTGAACCCGTGACCCCTGACCTCGACCTGGTCGATAGCCGGGCCGGGTTTTTAAACACGAGTTTGTAAACAAAAAGTTTATAAATATAACATTTTATTTTTATTTTTCTTTTTTGAGAAAACTGTTTACCCTGAAACAAATGTGATCGATGCTTTCCCTAATGATGGGACTGTCTTTGTTTTTCTAATAGTTTTTTTCTTCAAGTCACAGGTTCAAGGACTAATTCATCCATTCAAATTTCAACTCTACCTCAATCACTTAATGACTCCATTGTAGAGTCCTTTCAAATCCATTATCTCATTATCATCAAAACATGCGAAGGAGTTATCCCCAACAACATCCAACCACCATATCAGAAAAATATTAAGAAGTTTTTTTGGTGCACTCAGTCTCCCCCTCAATTACTCATTGACTCAAGTATAAAGACCTTTCAAGTACACTCCCTTTTGTTCATTGAAGCGCACGGAGGAATCATCCTCAAAGACCTTCAGTCACCGCCATACTAGAAAAAATTAAGAAGTACTATTATCCCCACATGTCCAATATATAATCCAGGTGAGACAACATCTTTACACAATCTTGAAAATTTTCATTTGATTTATCTCTTGCATGGTCTTTTTAGCCTCTTGCACATGCTAGGTGTAATGATAACTTTTTAAAAAGACAATGAAAAGATTTTAAAAAGCTATCTCATAAATCTGAAAATGAAGAATGAATGTTGAAATCGTAAAAGAACACACAAAACACATTGTTCGTGCATTCCATCGTGTATCACACAAATCAGCTACACTAGTGTGTATTGTTTTCATAAGAAGTCAAGCTCCAATAGCAAAAAAAACGAGATGCAATAGCCAATTAAATCTTTGCACTTTAAAGTTTAAACCACTCGTCCACCAACCAAAGACATATACTTTCACCTTTGAAAGGAGAAAGACAATGGTCATATACCAACCAAACCAAGGGAATATAATTAATACTCATCATAACTTTTTATTGTTTAAGTTGATGCTATACAGTTCCTTTCTACAAACCACTATGTACATTTGGCATCACATACCAACACTTGAATGCCATTTTCACACTAACATAAAGTACTCCCCACTCTATATTATATTATTATTTTCTTTTTAACATATACATTTTTCTTTTCTTTTCTTCCTCTTTTTTCTTTTTTTTTTTTGTCCTATACAAGATAGAGCAGTAGTTCCCAACACCGGCCTCAGTGTGCAAGGGCTCAGGTATTGCAACTATATAAAGTATAAAGCATATTTTCTGAGGACACCACTTAAGGAAGTGGCAACAACTGCAGTATCTTTTTTGGGTATAAATATTGATTGGTATAAGTGACCTTAAACCACTTATATAACATTAGTATTCTATAATAAGCCCTCCACCCATTGGAGATCTATGTGGAATTCCTTTCCTCCTCTTAGCAGTTCTGTAATTCACCACTGTTGGCGGTGGCGTTGAAGGTGAAAAGCTATGAATTTTGTTTCTGGCACTTCCATTGCTAATCCCATTCATTGATTCTTCACCATCGGACCCTTCTGTCTCACCTAACATTTTCTTCTTCCGTAACTTCTTGGAGGTTCCAACAATCTGAGAAGAAAAGAAAATTCAAAAATCCAACTATTCTCATCATCATTTGTCTTACTTTTTCAAAGGAAACATAAGAAAAGTACACCTTTAATGTTTACATACTTTATACAGAAAAAAGAGAGTTAGTTATGATTATTTTACTTTGATATGACATTTATAAGAACTTAGGAAAAAAAAATACACCATATTTTGCTATAACTAATGTAATTCAAAGATGTAATTTGGAATCCCAAGTTAATACTGTGTGATAGAAAATTTCCAAGAGACTATTCAAATGAATGGGTAAAAAGTGAGTAAATGTAAATTTGGTTTAACTATATATACCTTACAACCAAGAGAGCAGAAGCTGAAGGAATCAAGGAGGCTGCGCTCACAGACTTGGCAGGTATTGGTGACCCCTTTTCCAGGCCTAGGTTGAGGCCTTTCATTCAAGAACACAATCTTGGCACTGTTTATAATGTAAGTTTGGACCCCTGTTATGTCCATGAATTTCTGTATCTCAGACACCCTTATCACATCATGGTATGAAGACCTCCTTATCTTTGAAAATTAATAAAAAAAAAAAAAAAAAAATCTTCATCAGAGGATATTAACCACATTATTTATTCTTCTATCAAAAAGAAAATACCGAAATTCACAAAACAAATAAAATTATCTATCCAAGCAGAACCAATACTCAATATAATTGAGTAATAAACAATTATTCAGTGGGTTGAAAATTCAAAGTAAATAAAAGAAATAGATATTTCTAGGACCGATCAAAAAGGGATTGGATCCTAACAATGCAAGAAACACGCTAAATCTTTATTTTTGACCGTTTGTGTTCAAATCCCCACAGAATTGGATCAAATTGAGTCATATGAAGCCCAAAAACAATTCATTGTTAAAATAAAAATAAAAATAAAAAGATTTCACCTAAATCTATTACCTGAATTGTCCTGTGTTCTTTATGGGAAAAGAGACAAGCAGAACAAAGGGCTCCATTCATACAATCCAAGCAATACATATTGCATTCACTCTTGTGGGAATCTGCGTGGACTTTGCACTGAACAAAGAAGCTTGTGTTGAGAAGTGGCTGCAACCATGGAGGCCACTTGTTTTCTTCTTCCTTTTCTCCCACAGCACCTTCTTCTTCATTAAGACCTCCCTAATACCATAGACCCATTAACAACAAAACACCAACAATTATCAATTGGAAAATAATTGAAGACAAGCATTAAAAAATAATATATATGTATGAAAGGTTTGATTGAAAAACAACAACCCCATGTGTTGTATCATGTATGTGTCAAGAGGGGTTGCATATTTGCTTTGATTATTAGTACTAATACTAACCATGATGATTCTTGTTGCTGTGCCTTTGGTTTGGGGTTTGATATCTCTTATGATGGGCTATTGATTAAATATCAAAGCAACTCAGAAGAACCAAAAAAGAGAACTTTCTTCAACTATGGTACTTTCTGAGTTAAGAGAGAAGGGAAAAGATTAGAACTTGGAAGTGGGTCTCTACTTTTGTAGTGGCGGGTGATGAAGGGTAAAGCGAAGCTAAGTGCTTATCTTGGTCTTCAAAGTCCAAAACCAAACCTCACTCCGAACCCAAACCAAGGGAGGTTGCGTTTCTTTCAAGGAACTGACCGGGTGTTATGTGGTGACCTTCCGTTTTATTTGTTTATTTAACTATTTGCAATTTTGATAACATCTCCATTTTTTGTGATCGAACTATTTTTCATATTTTACTGACAATTATTGCGGGACTTTTCGTTTTATGGAAACTATGACTTTTATTTTTATTAATATTTATAGTTTTTAATAAACTTTGGACGAATTTTAAACTTGATTGGTGTTGAAGTTTAAGTAATTTGATAATACATTGTCATTGTCTTTCAATCATATTTTATCACAAACTCATTAAATTAATTTAGTGATAAAGAAGTGAATTACATATCATGAATATCTTAGTTTCAAACTTTAGACTTAGAAAATCATTTCCTTTGAATAGATTGTAATTGACATTATATAGCTGAAATATATGATTTAATTTTAAACTCATTATTAAATTTCAAATATAATCATATTGGTAAATTTCGTATTCATTATTATGAGTCATTTGAGTGACAAGTGAGTTTAAGTTCACTTTATTAAGAAGTTCATAATGGAGAATTTTTAATATACTTTTAAAGCATTATTAATTTAAGCAATTTTCTAACTGAATGATTTAAATTCTATCTTATTTTCAATCCATCGCCCAATATGATTATACGGTGTCATTTGTTACGTTGTTATTGAAATAGTGTAGTGCTCTAGAAATTACAAGAAATTTTTCAAACAATATAAGAGAAGGACTTCTACAAATATTGTTTAAATAAGTTATGTAACCTTAAAAAATACTTTAAATCTAAAGTAATTATGCGATGTGAAAAAAAATGTTATTATTTTGCATAAAATAATAATGTATCAACTGTTAATTTAATTTTGCATAATTTATGTAAGATATGTAGGGATTCGAATATGCAGGAAAATATCTCAGAGAAATAATGTAACCGAAGATTAATTTAACATACAATTGAAGCGCGGTAAAATAAAATAAAAATAATTAAAAATTGTATAATTTATTAATAAAACCTATATGAATAGTGTTGCTCTGTTTTGTTTGGCTTACTTTTCTAGCTTGAAAAGTATTTCGGCTAAGAACCTTACCAAAAAGAGTATTATATATGGGAAAAATATTTCTTAAGTAACTTGAGATAAGTTTATCTCCGATTATTTTAAAATTACGTCGTTTTATTTATTTATTTATTTATTTTAATTGATTCACCTTTGATTAGTTATGATTCTGTTTTTTCTCTCTTTTCTTTTATCATCATTGATCTATCTTTGTACGATTATGATTTAGTAGCCGGAGATAAAATTATCTCTGACAGCTTGAGAAATGATAAGGCCTTATATATATATGGGTTTTATAAGAGTTATGTTGTAGAAAAAATAATTGTGTTATGTCATGAAGATTCATTTTGCGTGTCATAACTTTTTTTTTATCAAAATATGTAAATCCCACAAAATATTACGTGTGTAAAAAAATTTTTGTGTTCGTAGTAAATAAGGAAAGCAAACCTCTGTATATATTTGGGGTAAGACACGGCCAAGTTTTGCAATAATGTCCACTTTCTTGATGGACACTCAGGAGAATGAGATTGTGACTTGTGGTGGCAAGGATGAGTCATCTATTTAAAGGGAATATATCATTAGAAAAAAAAAATACTGATTGCCATCAATCCATCATGCCATGTGTTATGTTTTGATTGGAAATAATATATGTATTTTCAAATAAGAAAAGTTACTAAAAAAGATAAAACAGATTTTTCCCTTCGATATTTATTACATTAAACGAGGGAGAAAGAGAGTAAAAATAAATGATTAAACGATTATACTGAAATTTCCATATACATTTGGTCTGAGTGATCAATAACCCATAAAGATTTCAAAATTTAGAGATAGCTGAAAGTTTGTGATACTAAAAACTACAAAATAAACATTTGTAATGCTGTATACTCTGTCTGTGATCGGTGCACTTGCATGGATTAACGAAGATACTGTTTGTAAAGTCTCCTGGCGGCGGCGGATTTTTATAATAAAGGATAAAAATAAAATTTTAAAATTATAAATATTATTAAGACTAATAAGAGATACTAATTATTATAAATATTATTAAGGAAAAGACTAACTATTAGTACTAATAATTTATTATTATTAAAAAAATTTATGTATAAAATAAAATTAAAATTAAAATTTAGGAAGGAACTACCGTCAATACTAATCCCTCCCTTGATGTAGGGTGTGTACGAGTTGAATTGAACTGAATTTTTTGAAAAATCAAACTAAATTTGTTTAAACGGTTCGATTCGAAAATGATTCGGTTCGGTTCAAAATCAATTTGGTTCTGTTCGATTGGAAATAGTTTGAAACTGGTTCAGATCGACTTTATTCTGAAAAGAAAAGAATTAAAAAATTAAAGAAATAAAATAATAAAAACCAGTTCGGTTCTGTTAAAAAATGGTTCGGTTCTTGAACTGTTTCTAAAAATCAGTTCGGCTCATAAGTTAGTTCTTTAAAAATCAATTCGCATCATGAATTGATTTTTAAAAATCAATTATTTTAAGTGCAGTTCAATTCAATTTACAATTCAGTTCAATTTTTTGGTTATTTTGCACATCCTTACCTTAGTGCACCCCTACTTAGCGGTTGTTGGCGGTGGTTTTCTCATATGCTATAGTTGGGTGGTGAATGAGCGAGTATCTACGAGGGGGAAATACTTACGGTACTACCGCCGCACCATTTACTCAGTGTGACGGGCCAATAAAAATTGAGGAATAACTGTGATGTCTGTACGAAGAGGAAAGAAAAATATTTTTTATTCAAATGTCACTTGTTGAATGGTAGACATACCTACTACGATAGTACAGAAACGATGTCCTGTGAGGCTCTACAATTGATCAAATACGTGCAAGTTAAATAAGAAACTTGACATTCTTATTTATAGCGTTTGAGAGATTTATTTTCTTTTATAATATTTTTTTTAGTTAACCCAATCTTAATTAATTCTTTGAGGCAAGTTTGCTTCCCTCGATATTTTTACAAGTTTCAACTCTTTGAGCCTGTTAAGAGACTAAATCGGAGTGCGGGACAGATCAGGAATAAAAATATTTAAATATCTCCTAAAAATAGTATGTGCTGATCGAATTGAGATCATTTTCTTTTCACTTATTCAATTCTCTTGCTCCCAATTGAGCTAAGGCCAATTGGTTGAATGGTTGAGAGACTTAAATGGCGGTTTAGGTTGCTTCCTGGGATTAGACTTGAACCCTATATAGATTGGGCTCTAGGATGCTGGGCCTGGCTCACAATACCCTCCAAAAAGGAATCGTGACGCTTAAAAAGTCTTTACCTTTTTTGGGAAAGAAGTTTTACACTGAATATGATAATTTGTTTCAATTTAGATGTTTTAGATGAAAATTAAATTTATTCCAAGTAAAGATCAAAATCTAACAACTGAAAAATAAACTTAGACGGTGACTTCATCTAAATGTCAAAATTAGAACTAGACAATCCAGTAGCATATTGCAATTCTTAAAAAAGTATTTACATTAAAAAAGCATCCAAGAAAGTAACAATGGAATCATAACATGCTATGAGGATAAGTAACACCTACAATACGCTAGCATTTGGCCTTACAAAAATTACCAGAGGCATCCCTGACTATTATACTGCATGCACTGTTATCCGAGTAAACAGCAGTAATTATATTAACTTTCACAAAATTTGCAACTGGCTATCCAATATTACAATAGTTTATAAATATATTTATGCATTTGAATAATTAATTACAAGCAATGAGGAATTAATCATAAGCGCTAATCTGATTATGAGTTTACTGCAGTCTATAGCTAAAGCACAAGAATTGTTGCCGCCGTTTATTTAACTTGGTGTCGCAACAAATAGCATTTTGATTCAGAAACGGGAAATGCGGGGAACGATATAAATCTTAAAATAAATATTTTTTTTTTGGGAAACATATACTTACAACCAAAAAGGTTTACCACCTTTACAACCAACCTAATCATCACAGTTGATTTCCGTCAATCTAATCGATTATCATTTATTAAAAATTTCACTGAAGATGCTGGCAAACCAAAGTTCAGTATATCATTGAGTATAGTTGTTAAATGGAATAAGAGAACAAAGAACAGAGTAATCGGTATCAATCAGTTGCAATTGTGGAGAAGGTAAATATCTATTCTTCTTGACCTTCGATGATTCCATCAAACACCAGATATTGAAGAGCTATGGAGTACTTTGCAGCTTTAATCCTCCTATCCGTGTTGTCATTTCGTGAATAGCTCCTATCTTTGAGAATAAATGATCCAGATACATCCCCTTCTGCAAGACCAGGTACAACGACAATTAATAAATATCACTCAAGGAGATATATACATGACAAGAAAGAGCACATTCTTTTCTAGAAGAATGATATGGAATCTACATTAAGGGACTAAGGTAACCAACCTTTAATTGTAAAAGTGGTGTGTATCCATTTCTTATAAATGAAGTGAAACCTTGGAGAGTCTCCCTGGTGAGTATGAGTATCTGACAAGAGAAGCTTGCAGAAAGACCCTTTTTGACTGACAAAGAATTTAGTTGTAATAAAAGTTAAACAGATTACTCCAGCAATAAAATTCTCAACAAAAGTAATGCATACTCACTTTGCATAAGTAATTGCATTGTGGCACAAGGCTAGACTCTTGACCATGGCTAAGTCTCGTCCCCGGGGATTAGAATATCTTTGTTGGCAGATCCTATTTCATATCAGAATTCAGAACCAAAAGATGAAATTGAAACACGTAAGTTATAGTTATACGGGGAGGGTTCATTAATGTAAATATTGTTTTAAGGTTGTACAGAAAGCATGAGTTATAAAAGAGTAAAGACCAAATTACTTTTGGTCAAAGAAATCTCCAAAATCATCAATAACAACTGCTGCAGGAAATGTATCAAGCAGATGGAAGGCAGCAAAGTACTTCCTAATGTCTTCATCATCATTGATGTACCTCAAACAGTTAAAAAATTTGCACATGACATACTATCAGGATCACATGTAAGTAGTAAACTATACAAAGGTCAGTGATATTGACCAAAATGCCACTCTTTACCAAGATTTTTACTCAAATATCATGCAAACAGTATTATTTCTCAATATGTCACGTGGACAAGTTCGTTGGGAATAAATCTTTGGTGTTAATGTTGCACCAAAGATTAAGTACTCCTCACCAATAGAAATATTACATGTCAGCTAAATTTTTTTTTCTCTGTCAAATTTTTGCTCTCTCCTATGATGTGTAATACTCTTATTGGTGAGATGCACTGAATTTTGATGCAACAGTAGCACCAAAGATTTATTCGTTCGTTGGGCACTATAACGAACTGATGTATCATGTTCTTAGTGTTCAATAGAAACGTGACACATCGTCAAACTGAGTTCACGTAGAGTAGCGAGCGACTGGGTACTTGACCACAGTTGGCATATTGGAAAATATCATTGTTAGCGAAACATTTCAGTAAAAAACTTGGTGAAGGCATGTTGGTCATTATTCCAAAGGGGTCACGGGTGATACTTCATTTGTATACGCTGGAAGATATCAGATGATGGGTCAATATCCTGAAATTCAGAAAACATTAAGTGAGTATTAAAAAAACGAATAGAGAGAGAGAGAGAGAGAGAGAGAGGATAAATACCTGAGAAAGAAAAGGGGGTTTGGAATCCAACCTGTGGCGGTTGCAAATGAAGAGAACGTTTGGGTTGGAAGAGTTGGAGTGAAGTGCTACATTAAATGCAAATTGGAAAAGCAGAGAGGTCTTCCCACTGCACATTAACGTAACATTCATTCATAACAATTTTCAACAAGTCAAATTCATATGTAGAGAGAGAGAGAGAGAGAGAGAGAGAGAGAGAGAGAGAGAGAGAGAGAGAGTAGAAATACGAAGAAGGAGGGCCAGAAAGAAGAAGAAGATTGGAATGGTTTTGAAATTGTTGAAGCAGGTTCATGTCGGTGCTTCCTCTCCAGAAGAACATCTCCATCATCACTTTCACTCTCAACTCTTCTTCTCACACCACGACGTTGTTTCAGTTCACAGCTGCCGTTGATATCCGACCCGAGTCATCCAGGTTTGGTTTTAAAATTTAAGTTTCAATTTCAAATGAACGAATATTTGTTTAATTTAAAGTGTTTTGCTTGTAATTTCCTTTTTGAGATAATTATTCATTATAATTTTGCTAAATATAATTAATTCGAGTTTTTTTTATTAAGTATTAAATGATATGTAATGAATAACAATTCTGATCTTTTTCCTTTTATCACATACTATTTTCGATCATTTTAAATAGATTTTGAAAATTAATGGACGAAATAAAAAGATTGGTGTTTATTACGATAGTGGTGAAAGCGATGGTAAAGGTGGATTATCAAAATATCAACCTCAACTTAAGAAATTAAAACAACAACAAAAATAAAAAAAAGAAGCAATTGAAGTCACATCCATAATTTATCACCATTAGATTGCACATCGGATGTGATTTAAGAATCAACATGCACCTCTGAACCATTGTAGATGTTTGAAAACGCTACGCTACACTACATTATCTTTAAATGATACTCATACTCTTAAATGATAAGATAAAATATAATTATCTCAATCATATATTATAATCATTATAAATTAAGTTAAATATGTTCTGGATCAACTTCACAGCCCTAATTCATGGCTGACATCTAAAGACCCATTTAAGGGGTAAATATCCTATCTTTCTAAAATGAGACTCCTAGATTCTCATAATCACCCCATGTACAACTCATCATTATACACATTAGTGGTGCGTTGCCTTGACACACAACAATAAAGTCTTGGCCAAAATATATTTCCTTCACCCATTAAAGGACTTTACAAAATTTATGAATTGTTACTCAGCCAAAATATAAAGGGAAAAACACTTCTCATGTTGCATAGGAAATGTTTTATCATATTGTGACTCTTCGATTTACGTGTAAAGCTTTTTTTTTTTTAATAAGTGTGAGACCCATAACTAGTTGAGTCATAACATAAGAATTCAATTCTCATGCAACATGAGAAAATCAAAACCCAAATATAAAATATAGAGCCACAGCCCACAATGCAACCGCTCTTTGGCCATCTATGAGATACTTAGGAGTACTACCTCTAACTAAGAGCACCTCCATCTATAAGAGATATTTATTGAAAATCACTACACCAACAATTCAAAATATATTTTGTATCACATAGCCCGAGGATGAGAACCTCCTTTCAGGTATCATATGATCCTACTATCTGAACTTCGAAGAAAAATCCAATGTTCAAAAGAAGCGAAGAATTACTACATTTATGTTCTCCTTTATCAACATACTATACACCGTTTATAGAATAATTTAGGATAATTTTGAATAGATAGTTGTTATTATTTTAAAGGTGTAAGTAGCATCAACAACTGGTCACAGAAATGCAACTTGTGGCGCTGTAGACTCAATCATCCTACAAATGTAGTCAACGGTGGACCATAACAACAGAATCACAATGCCATAATAAATCAATCGCAATTCCCTGACATTCGCACAAAGATACTATTCAGGAACAGAAGTACTGAAAATCAATAAAACCTGATTGAACCTCCCTTGTTTTCACATGCTCCATTTAAAGATAATGACCTACGCTGAACCTCATATTTGAACAGTTGATAGAACGCACATACAAGTGAAAACGAAAAATCATACCACAAAAAAGTGAAGTTGAAGTAAATATATGAATCAGCCTCACAACTATCTCTTCCCACTGGGCTCCAGATTTAACTCCTGAAGATTCAGTAACAGATCATCTGAATTCAAGTAAACCTTGTTGGCAGAATTTGAAATTGTGTGAGCAATTTCCCTTGCAGCTTCAATTTTCCTTAAGGTGATAAATGCCGGATTACTGGCAATAGCTTGACCAATCAATTGCGCACTCGTGGCTTCACCCTGTTAATCAGAGCGTAATAAGAAAGTAGGGACAGCGGAGCTTTCATATATAAATAAAAGAGAGTTGTAAAAGCAGCCGTCTCTTTATTTTGATGAAGTTCAAAATCAGTTATAAGTAACAGTCATGATATGAGGATTTAATACATCACTCAAGCAGGACAATCAGCAAATACCCTTCTACGATGATACTTTCATCTTCTTTTATATTTCCTTTTCGTCTGGTTTCGTAGCAATTCAGAAACAATAAAAGCATGCAGCCACTTCTAGAATTATTAAGAACCATCTTAAATATAAGAATGGGGCCAATATTTTTCACCTGTGCTCTAATAACAGCACTTCTTTTGTCTTGTTCAGCTTTTTCTACAACAAATTTAGCTCTCTCAGCTTCTTGAGCAGCAACTTGCTTGGCTTCAATTGCAGCTGTGAATTCCTTCCCAAATGTCAAACTTGTGATTGATACATCATCCAATGCCATATTAAAATGGGAGGCCCTTTCAGTCAGTATCTTCCTTATTTCTCGACTAACAGCCTGTAAAATTGGAACAATTTAGAAATAATCAGTCTCACCACTAAGGTTGTAATTTCACTTTTAGTATCCATCCTAAAGTAAATTTACTTGATTCCCAAGAATGCAAATTCCAACTGAGAAATTAAGAAGCATACATACAATTAGTCCAGTTACTAGTTGGTCAAAAGATAGGGGAAAATATAAGTAGATACTAACCTCTCTCTGAGTAATGAGTTGACTAGCATTATACTGTGCAACCACAGTTTTGAGAGTTTCATGTATAATAGAAGGCAGGAGCCTTTCATTATAATTCTCACCCAGGGTTCGATAAATTGTTGGTAATTGGTCTGGCACAGGGCGTGTAAGGACTCTAAGTCCAATTTTCACCTAGCAAAAACAAAGATCCATAACACATGGAAACTGCAATACAAAATATTGTGGTGTATGCTGCATCAAAAATATATTTAGAGAAAATAACTGAATAAAGTACTGTCCATACTCAAATAGAGTAAGCACTGACTACATTTTCTTGATTCTAATAAATCAATATTAACGATTCTACCATAAATCTAGAATATCATGGTCATAGATTGTAATAGTTCAAATATAAGGGATCTGAGCAAAGTGCACAACATGGAAGGGGTTAACTGGGGGAAATGTATGAACAACTTGAGAGTCAAGATTAAGCTGACTCAGAAAAAAATTAAAAGATTGATGAAATGGATAGGCATCAGATCAGCAATGAGTACTACAGACATATAAGCACTTAATGTCAACAGCTCATACAGAAGGAAGCATGCTTACATACAATCATGAAATAGCATTATGCTAATACTAGAAATGAGCCCCAGTGTAATGGCTGTAATGGATTAAAGGAAAGAGAGAGAGAGAGAGAGAGAGAGAGAGAGAGGGGGGGGGGGGGGGGGGAGTCAAGAATGGTGACACTACCCTTTTTTTCCTTAACCCCATATTTTTCTTTTTAGGCAGGAAAGGGAAAGGTGAGGGAAGCTAATCCAGCTTCAAAACAAACAACATGTTGCTATAACTAAAATGAAAGCAAAAAGAATAAGAATAACCTGTTTGACCCTTGATGCCACAAATTCAAACACACTGAAAGATCAGAAGTCATGAGGATAAGAAAAAAAGTGGGACAAACAAAAAGACTTACCATTTGGAGATCACGGCTTCCAGAAGTACTCTCCACTAAATGAGGCCGTGCACGAACATCATAGATCACAGGCCTCTCAAACCATGGAATCATAAAATGTGTCCCTTCTGGGTAGACCTGCACACAAGAGGCATACTATATTGATATGCTGCAATAAGATTACTAGTAAACACAGGTCTAATCGTCCAAGTATGCAGACCTTGAAGCATACTGATTCAGAGTTATGGAAGCTTATAGACCATATGTTAAACTCACGCTTAACAGCAAGATTGTTTATCAACCATAAGGCTGAAAGCCTTTTATTCTATAAGAGATGGTGTGCCACATGAAAACCTAAACACAAGAATATGATAAAATGACACGGTTAAGAGAAATTTTATGCTCCACTTAGGAGAAGCACTACCTTGTTCGTAAAATATAAAAGTCTTCATGGAAGTAGGGCTTTAGGAAAACCTACTCCTAAGGACCAATTAATATTTAGCTAGAATGGTTAAGGCTTGTATGTTTTCCTTCAATTCATATGACAATGGAGTTCATCTAAAAAAAAAAAAAATCTTAAAAAACAAGCAAACAGCATTAAGTTCATTTTCAATGTTCACATCATACTTGAACTTTGCAACAGAAGACTTTCATTTGAGTATAGACTTCAGCTAAAGATAATGAAAGATGTTGCAAGTTGCAAATAGTTATAATACAAAAATTCTTTCAGTTAACAGCCACAGACAATGAAATAACCTTATCTTTGACACCAACTATACGATTGAAGACAATGGCTCGATGGCCTCCCTCAACATTGTACAAGGTGTTAGCAGCCCCATATACAACAAGCCCACCAATTATGCTAACTTTAAGCAAAGCAGAGAGTCCGCCACCAGGAACCTTTGGAACATTCACGTTGTTAAAATTCATCTGCCAACATTATTAAAATCAGCCATTAATAAAGCTTCACGAAGCATCAAAAGGTGGAATAAATCATGCAGATTTAGCATAAAGCACAAGCAATTACAAATAAAAATTGCTTGAAATAAAATAAGATCACAATAACTAAAAACACAAAAAATGATAAATTTTCAAATATAAGAGAACCTAGTGTGTATCTGTAACTCGAATGTTGGAACCTTCCACTTGCAAGAAGCTTTAAAGACCGTAACATTTTGCAACCAAACAAGAAAGAAAAACATTGAACTAAAAAGACAACATCAAAGCAAACATGCAGCGCACCTTACAGTCAACTGTTGTAGAGCTATCTCTGCTTGGAGGAGGTGGACAGGGGGTTCAATTGTTATTGGGTTTTAGGGCTTAGTAGGAAGACACCACTTCCAGCGTGTCATTTCAGCTCTTTTTAGCTTGTCTGGGTCGGGTACCCGAGAATTGCTCATCCATGATTTTTATGTTTTCTTGTCCAAACAAATTTTGTTTTAACAGGAAAACAAAAAAAAATTAACTACCCATATACTTATTTTTATAATTTGTTTTTTATAGAAGTCATTTTTTTATTTAAATCAAAAATTTGAATTCTTTTGTATTAATTATACCTATTTTTTGAAAAATTAATTTTTATCTTTTAATTTATAATTTTTATATTGGTTGTACTTAGAACGTTTATGTTAAAAAAATACTTGTACAATTTTTTTTTCACTATTTGTATTATTTTTTAAGTCAAATATTAAATTTATTTTCTTTTAAAGTATGAATACGTTATTTCTTAATTTTTTGCATTTAAATTTAAATTTTAAATTATTTTTTTGTCAACTATACATATATTTTTAAAATTTTAAATATTCTTTTCATTTAATCTATAATTTTATATGAAATTTAAATTTATTATATATATATATATATATTCTCATTGCAAAAACATTAAATATTGAACTCCTTTCCTATCAATTGAGTTTAAAATTCAAATTTAAAAAGTTTGAATTTTAAATAAAGTAAAGTCATTTTTGGGTCTTCAACAAAAAACACTGTTCCCAATTTAGTCTCTTACAAAAAAAATTAGTCTTGAGGTCTCTAAGAATTTCAAAGTGAACTCATTTAGTTGAAATTGTAATCCTTCACAAATTCAAAAAAAAACTCATATTAGTCTCTCAAAAGGACTAAAATGGGTCCATTTTAAAATTCATAAGGACCAAATGACTAATTTTTTTTGTAAGGGACTAAAGTGAGGACTAGGGTTGGCAAAACTAGCCAACCCAACTCGACCCGGGCCAACCCGCATGCAACCCGGAAAAAAATAAGCGTCGTGTTAGGGTTGGCTCAAAAATATAGCTCGTGGGTTGACTTGAAAAAATAGCTTGTGTGCTGGCTCGAAAATTGGCTTGTGGGTTGGCTCGAAAATTGCTCGCGGGTTGGCTCGTTTTCAACCTATTTAAATGAACTTGTAATATTAATGTATCAGCTATGTGGCTTCCATCAGCTTAAACAAAGGGTTTCAAAATGAGAAATAAAAATAAAATTTTCTAGTTTCAAATTTTCTTCACAACAAATTTACACCAATATCAAGAAACAATCAGAATCACTTGCTACCAAGTGAGTAAGATATTTGAACCAAACAGAGCTAACACAACCTAACAATACAAAAATGGCAGCGATGTGAGAAGATTAGGGACTTAGACTTAGAGAAGGAAGAAAGATGAAACAACATGTGTGGGTTTTGTCCATTTTTGTATATTATATTTTGTATTTTTTTATTAAAAAAATAACTTAACCCGCCAACTGGCTCGTTTGACCCGCGGATTGGCTTGTTTTTTTTCCGAGCTGGCTCGAGTCGGGTTGGCAGCTCATTTTTGCCAACCCAACCCGACTCATTTTTTACGGGTTACGAGCCAACCCGACGGGTTGGCTCATTTTTGCCAACCCTAATGAGGATCGTGTTTTTTGTTAGAGACCCAAAAAGGACTTTATTCTTTTAAATATTACATATTTTCCCACACAATTGTAAAAGTTATTAATACGCTTAATAATTTCCCATACAAAAGTAGTAAAAAACATTAAAATAGTATTTAAAATACTTAATTCCAAACAAAAAAATTACGATACACGAGTTGGATGGTCACTGGTTATTAAATGGTTATTCATTTTTATAGTGATTAAATTTGTATAATTTGTTTGAGTAAAGCTTTTTTTGGGTCCCTAACAAAAAAGACAGTCCTCACTTTAATCTCTTACAAAAAAAAGAAAATAGTCGTCTAGTTCCTATAAAAATCAAAGTTGACCCATTTTAACCTTTTGAGGGACTAATGTGTTAGGAATGTGGCTTCCATACTCAAGAGGGGGTGAATTGAGTATTACAAGATTTTCGCAAAATTCCCCTTCTAGTTTCTAAATAATCATTTCAAGCAAACTTTGATATGTGAAAAGCTAATCAATACATTCAAACAATCCATAATATATAATATATCACAATTATGTAACTTATTCTAGCACATACAAGATATCAAAGAAGAAAATAAAGTGCTAGGAATAAATAATTTAGAGTTTAGAGAATTGCAAACACAATATATCCTGGTTCGGTCACCACCACTTGTGACCTACGTACAAACTAAAGCCGCTCGATCAACTTTTTCACTAATGGTTAAGCTTCACGGGTGCTTGACAAACCTTTACAATCTTCCAAGACTTCGGGTTCTTGGATACCTTACAATCTCCAAGTTTACGGGTACTTGGCAACCTTACAATTCACTCCAAATTTACTTAAGTATTTGGCTACCTCTCAAACAATGGGTCTCACAACCCTTTCAACTCAAGAATATAAGGAAGAAAATATTTGGAAATTAATATACACTCTCAAAGTGTGGATATACAACTTGAAGCACTATGGGTGTACAGATTTTCAAGATATGAGCCCAAATATGTTTGATCTTTGAAAGATATGAAAAAATATGCAAATGATAGTATAAAAGCTCTCAAATCATCCTTAAAATGTGTAGAAATAATGATCAAATCGTTTTAGGGTCATAAGGAATGTATTTATAGTAATTTTTATCAAAATTAGCCGTTTATAGCCGTTATAGACTTTCTGTCGCAGGGGGAATCAATTCCCAATGAGTGAGAATTGATTCCCAACTTTTCCAGAAAGTGGGAATCGATTCCCAACCTGTTGAAAAGGTTGGAAATACGACATGAATAACATTGTTTCGTATTTTGCGTATAACTTTAGCTATTCTTGTCGAATTGATGTGATCTTGGTCTCGTTGGAAAGATAAAAGAAATATCTACAACTTTTATGAAGAACACAAGATCTAAATCCATCATCCTAGATACGAAAAATATTATGCAATGCAACAACGAAATTCTGCAATAAATTTTAAGTTCAAATGTGTTATAGCTTGCTTCCAACCATTTTTTGTGAAAGATCTTAACATTATAAATATTTTTTGAAGTTATAAAATATGTCAAAGATATTTTCCATGGATTTTTCAAATTTCTTTCAAGTATATAAATGTTATAATTATGCAATTCAAAAAACACCTTTACTTTGAGAAAACTCTGAGCTCATGCAATGCAATCTACCATATACCCTCACATATATTCTAAGTTCTAAAGATATATTCTAAATATTATTTTAGACTTAGCTTCATGTCTTTTTTTCTTGGATCTTTACTTGAGCTTGATGCTTTGACTTGTTGGATATGACAATGCTTGACACTTTGTTGGTTTTGATCATTTTTCACCACGGATATGATATTGAGCTTCTCTTAGATGTTGTCAATGGTTTGTTGTCTTTGGTCTTAGTGTTGGTCTTCTAAATATTCCTTGTTGCTCTTGATCTAATCATCTTGCCACTTTGATATGTCATTACTCTTCTTGTGTGGCTACATCATACATCTTCAATATCCACATATGGTTGATGCTTTTTGCTCTTGATTAATACTATGCTCTTTTATGAACCAAAAAAAAAATACTATGCTCTTTTTGTTGTTGTCACTTTGTAATCATCAAAACATACATTGTATCTACATAGTGTTGGTCTTTTTAAAAATTATGAGGGACAACGATTTTAACTAAATGAGTGCACCTTGAATTTCTTAAGGACCTCGAGACTAATTTTTTTTATAAGGGACTAAAGTAGAAACCGTGTTTTTTGTTAGGGACCCAAAATGAGTTTTACTCAATTTGTTTTTAACATAATGATAGTTGTCATTTTTGTATTTAAATTTAAAATTTAAATTCTTTTGTATTTTTTTATACATAATTCTTTTGTATTAATTATGCATAATTTTTGAAAAAAATTATTTTTTATCTTTTAATTTATAATTTTTATATTGGTTATGCATATATGTTTAAAATTTAATGTTAAAAAAATTTAAAAAAAAAATACGTGTACAAATTTTTTCTATATTTTGTATTATTTTTTAATGTTAAATTTATAATTTATTTTCTTTTGAATTATAAAAATGTCATTCTTGTTTTTTTGCATTAAAATTTCACATTAAATTATTTTTTATCAACAATACATATATTTTTATAATTTTAAATATATATATTTTCATTTAATCTATAATTTATATTAAATATAAATTTATTATGTATATTTTTTTTCCAACTGTAGAAACATTAAATGCTGAACTCTTTCACTTCTATCAAGTTCAAAATTCCAATTTAAAAAGTTTGAGGGTTAAATATTAAATATTTTCCCACCCAAAAAACCAATAATAGATATTATTAATAGTTTTAACAATTTTCCATGCAGAAAGTAGTGGTAAATATTAAAATAGTATGTAAAATACTTAACTTTTTTTTTACAATGGAGGAGTTTAATGGTCACGGGTCACTAAATTATTTTTTATTTTTGTTTTTATTAAATTTTTATAATTTATTTTTTATGAAATATTTGATGTCAATTTTTATTTAAATTAAAAAATTTAAATTTTTTGTATTGATTGTACATATTTTTTGAAAAATTAATTTTTATCTTTTAATTTATAATTTAATATTTATGTTAAATATTTTTTTACAAAATACTTTTACTAGTTTTTTCCCCCTCTTTTTGTATTATTTTTTTAAGTTAGGCTTTAAATTTATTTTCTTTTAAAGCATAAATAAGTCACTCTTACTTTTTTGCATTTAAATTTCTAACTTAAATTATTTTCTTATCAACTCTACATATATTTTTATATTTAAATTTATTATATATATATATACACACACATATTTTTTTCACTGTAAAAACGTTAAATGCCGAACGTTTTTCCTACT